GGACGTCAGATGTGCCCTTGACGATGATCTCTTTGTGGCGGTTCACATCCACGCCCAGCTTCATGCTCTGCAGCACCGTGGTCCTGGAGCACACAGCCCCGGCTCAGCCCGCCTCGGGGGGATGGGAGGAGACAGCCCCCCTCCCCTGTCACCAGTCACCTCCCCGCCACCTGGCCAGCCTTCCCGTAATTCACACACAAGGTTGCATGGGACATTTCAGCCCCAGGAACCCAAGGGCCCAGCTCCGTGGGCAAGCAGCTTCATGCTCTGCAGCACCGTGGTCCTGGAGCACACAGCCCCGGCTCAGCCCGCCTCGGGGGGATGGGAGGAGACAGCCCCCCTCCCCTGTCACCAGTCACCTCCCCGCCACCTGGCCAGCCTTCCCGTAATTCACACACAAGGTTGCATGGGACATTTCAGCCCCAGGAACCCAAGGGCCCAGCTCCGTGGGCAAGGCCCTGGGTGAAAGGCAGCGGCCAGGCCTGGGAATGACCTAGGGCAGGGAGCGAAGACAGATCCCATCAGACTGAAGCCAGGAGTTGGACTGGCCCTGGCACTTCCCCAGCTGGAGCCAGGCCAGGAGCTGGGCTAAGGCGCCCTGGCACCTGCCCCTCCCCTCCCACAGTGAACCCAAGGGCCCAGCTCCGTGGGCAAGGCCCTGGGTGAAAGGCAGCGGCCAGGCCTGGGAATGACCTAGGGCAGGGAGCGAAGACAGATCCCATCAGACTGAAGCCAGGAGTTGGACTGGCCCTGGCACTTCCCCAGCTGGAGCCAGGCCAGGAGCTGGGCTAAGGCGCCCTGGCACCTGCCCCTCCCCTCCCACAGTGACCTACCAGAGACCCCCCGTTATCTCAGCCCCGGTCACCCGGCGGGGCGTCTCCGGCCACCAGAGAAGGGCACTCACGGCATCTCCTCCGGCAGGACGTCGGCCAGGATGTTGATGGAATCCGTCTTGGCTTTGGAGGTGGGGGCTGCGGCCAGCAGCAGCTTCAGCAAGGCAATCTGGGAGGGCAGCAGAAAGCGGGGTGAAGGCGGGATGGGCCGCCGGGCGAGGGCAGGAGCGACCAGACACTCGCCAGAGAGAGGGGTCCGACGCAGCCGAGGGCACAGCCAAGCGTATGCCAGGCAGGACGAGGCGCGGGCCAAGGCATGTGGCGAGGACCCGTTCAAGAGGGGACGCGATCACAGGATCAGCCTCCCCCCTGTAAGCCTGGAGAGGAGAGTCCAGCCGTCCTGGCCACGGCGGAGGCATGGGAAGGGGTGGGGCTCTGCCTAGGGTCAGCGGTGTGGCCACAACTCACCATGTACTGTGGCAGGCTGGGAAGGAGGCCCTGGTACAGGGTCTCGGTGGGAACTTGCTTCACTTCCTCTTCCCCCTAGCACAGAGACGAGAGAGAACATCAGAGCGGCCAGACGGGTCAGACCAACAGTCATCCAGCCCGGCGTCCTGTCTGCCCACAGTGGCCAGGGCCAGGTGCCCCAGAGGGAGGGAACAGAACAGGGAATCCTCACGTGATCCCTCCCGTCACCCGCCTCCAGACAAACGGAGGCTAAGGACACCATCCCTACCCAGCCTGGCCAGTAGCCACGGATTAATAACCTCCATGAATCTATCTAGCTCTTTTTTCAACCCTGTTGAAGTCCTGGCCTCCATCACATCCTCTGGCGAGGAGTTCCACAGGTTGACTGTGCACTGAGTGAAGAAAAACTTCCTTGTGTTCGTTTTAAACCTGCTGCCTGTTCATTTCATTTGGTGACCTCTAGTGCTTATATTGTGGAAATAAGTAAATAACTTTTCCTTATTCACTTTTTCCATACCAGTCATGATTGTATAGACTTCTACCCTATCCCCCCCTTAGTCTCCTCTTTTCTAAGCTGAAAAGTCCCCGTCGTCTTAATCTCTCTGCACATGGGACCCGTTCCAAACCCCTCAGCATTTTTGTTGCCCTTTTCTGACCCTTTTCCAATGCCAATACAGGCAGTCCCCGGGTTACGTACAAGATAGGGACTGTAGGTTTGTTCTTAAGTTGAATTTGTATGTAAGTCGGAACTGGTACATATTGTAGGGGAAACTCTAGCCAAACATTTCTCCAGAGCTCAGTTTTATTCTCCCACACCTCACTTCCCTCAGTCCTTTATTCTCAAGCTGAAGTGTCTGCTGAGAAAAGC